TGATTTTTGGATTCCCAATTTACATCCTATTGGATTCAAGTTCAAGAATTAAGCAGCCAAAGCAGCTCCCAAAGCCATAGCACGTCTTTTGCAAGAAATTAAGTGCCTTACATCTCACTTCCAGCATTTCTAAAGGGCCTTGACCCACCACATATAGCACGTGAGAGTCCTGGCAACGCGAATTCCTTCTCCTTGGTGACACTGGGAACTGATGTACCTGCTGTTAAGCCTACCCTGGTTTTAAGAAACCTTCAATGAAATTTAAGCTTAGGAGTTTTACCTTTCAGCTGAGATGGAGCAGAAACACAAACCTGATTGGTTTTCCAGGCTCAGCTGATGGGCAGGAACAAAGTAACCACCAGCCCTGTTCCTGTAGCCTCAGGCACTGCACTGAGTCACTTGTCCCACAAGCTGATAAGAGCTGCATCTCAAAGGGAAGAAAACTCTCTTCAAATTGGAAGAAGGATCACAGTGTCAGCAGAAAGGCAGGGAAAAAATGCTAATTTCAGCACTGTCCTGAAAACCAAGTGGGTTTTCAGGTTCCTGAGGTCTATCTGAGGTTTCATCCCAGATCCAGCTCAGGTGTTTCCTTGGCAGGTTTGTCTTCTGACCTAGAGCTTAATCCTTGCCTCTGATCTAGGCATCCTGTCTGCAAGCTAATGAGCTCAAAATTACTGTATATTTGTGTGGCCCTCTGAGCTCTGATGTGTGACACAACCACAGCTATAGCTGGACTTACTTCTTTCTTTATTTTCCGGGGTTGCAGCCTAAAGGCCAGGCTTGATGCTAAAAACAACGAAATTCAAATCCCAGTTTACATGTGGGGAAAGATGGAGAAAGCACTCCTCGGAACCCAGGCTTCTGTTGGGATACCTCCCAAGACATGATTTTTAAGCTGGGTAACAAGCACAGACCAGGGCTATCTTCACAGCAGAGGATTCCAAACACCTCATTCCACCTTGGTGACAGACACCAGGGGAAGACTTTTAAATACTACTTGCCTGGGCTCAAAATGACTACAGGAACTAGTCAAAATCAATGAGCTCTTTATAGCTGCACCAAAGAGTTTTCTTCTCTTGGATCTGTTTTCTTCCTCCATCCTACCACCTGTGTTCTGCTTATTCTATGAAGCTTAAAGACTACATGGTGCCACCTACCCACTAAGTCTACTGTGAAGGTGAAGCCCAAGGCAAACTGCTCAAAGGTAAGAGAGAAAGAATGTTAAACTACTGTTATGTGGGGAGGTTTTTAATTTTTAGTAAGTATACAAACCTTAAAATAGTGGACAGCTTACATCAGAGTCTGCATATAGAGTACCTTTCACCCCAAAGCAGTTTTCCAAAAATGTACATGCACAGAACACAGAAATGTAGCCACTCTGGAGCTGAACACAGCTGCTGCTCATCCAACACAGAGTGATAACAACAAGGAGAGCTCCTGCAATCTCCACAATAAACCTCTGGGTTTTTGGTAAATGCACTATGGATTTCTGCACACTTGCTATACCAGAGGACACCCATATATTTAAAGGCTTCACCTGAGACAACAATGCAGAGCCAGCAAAATGCATTTCCTTTATGTCCTTTGGAAGGTCACAAAGCTCCCCAGCAGAATATGCTGGAATACAGACAGCCAGGCTCTTGAGCAATTTCATATCTGATATTCAGGTACTCACGAGCTCTACCACTCAGTGCCTGCCGTGACAGATATGTCACAACTAAAGGTCACGGCAAGGTTTCCCCTGCCAGACTTGCTCGCCTTACAGGAAAGGCAGATTTGTTCTTGCTGGGTTGCTCTGCCCGGTGTCCCAGGCACCGTGGCTTGTTTCGGAGTGCCCTCTGCCGCCCAGCCCGCAGACCTGCGAGTCTGCAGGGAACGAAGCCAGGAATATGAGCGGGAACCGGTTACCGACGGACAGCGGTCAGCAGCGTTCAGCCCAACGTGCAGGTCAGAGGCGTCGCGCTAGAGCCGAGAGCTGAGCTCAGCATCTGGGTCTGCCTTACCTGAGCTCTGACGTTTGGAAAGCACTGCCTCCGACCAGGGCTGCAGACACAATTGATTTTTACACCTGTTTTCTGGGGCAACTCTACCTCAGCTCACCTCTCATGCCTCAAAAATCTCTTTCCCAGTTCTTCTCATCTGGGATATGAGGTAGAAAAGGCAGCAGATGCCCCCTGCACTGGCACTGCTGGGATTCTTCATTTGCAGCCATAGGAAGCAGCTTTACTCTTCACTTCCACCCAGCCCACATCATCTGACTGACAAGTAACTTCTGTCTCCAAAGCAAAATAGGAAAGCTGACTTTTGTTCTGCCCGAGTCCAAGATATGGAGGCAGGAATCCCTTTGGGGGTCTCAGGGCCTCTAAAAACTGCACAGAAACAGTTTCTCTGTAGGTGCTAAGAGATCAGATATTCTAGAAGGTTCTACTAACTTACAACCTATAATACTTGCAAAATTCTTTAGTCAGTCCATTATCCTCACAGCTGCAAGAATCCTTACCTAACCAATACTCCTATTCAAGCTGATGCAGGCGGCCAGGCCTGATACCAAGGCTGAAATTTGTGACTCTCAATACCAGAACATAACATGTTCCTGCAATTCATTACTTGGGTTAATAAAGTTCCTTTAAGCACAACAGCCATAAGTATCTTTATTAGGGCACTCATTCATGTCCACTCAGCTCCCACACAGGCACTGTCCTGCACAAGAAATAGCTTTGCAATATGTACAGGATTCTCTGTGCAGTGAGGGCAGGTACTGCAAAGCTCTGAGGCGTTTGCTCCAGTCATGTGAAGTTCTCAGCAAGGAAATGGTTGCACAGATGCACACCAAGATGCACACACACATACAGTGTTCACCTGTGTGCCAACAGCTTAGATGTGGCAGTCAAAATGTAACTTGCACTGGGCAAGAGAACTACATGAGAGCAATATATGATTTTACCCCTTATATTTTTGTTATCCAGAGGAATATTCCTCTGTGAGGTATTGCTCCTATACCTCTGCAAGGATGGAATTCCATGACTCAACACTTCTTACATCTGGGATTGAAGCTACCACCCCACATGTTCACTCCTAATCAATACATGTAGCTGGCACTGTCTCCTAGATTTGCTACAATTCAGGCATTTTTTTCCTCTTCCACAGCAAAGCACAATTTGTTTCATCAGGTTTGTCACTGCAAAGCTGAGATTACTTGCTTAAGAACAGATCGAGACACATTTCTACCTCTGTGTCTTTCCAATGAGGGGTTTTTAATTCCAAAAGGGGTATATGTGGTGTCAGGGTATATAGCAGTCTTTGTGTAGGCACTTACACTCATACTCCCAATAATAACTCCCAATTCCCTTCCCCTTTTGGCTGCCATGCTTTCCTTGGGAAGAGATACCTGAATGCAGTCAGACAAGTAACTTTTCCCTTCAGTGCATTGCCAACCATTGTTATCTGCCTTCCTGATGACTGTGATTGCTCATCTGTGTCACTGTGTCACCCTCCTGGTCTGCTCTCCCCGGCAGGCAGCAGAGCCACGTGTAACATTCACAAACCATAGCACAAGCCTGGTCAGGGTTTCTTGCTGCCACAGTAAGCACTGAGGCTCCGGTGGCTCTGCGGACCCTGGAGAGGGATGTGTTAGAATGACAAAACGCACAGCAACACTATCACTGCTGTTAGGCAACTGATATTGTACCAGAAATAAACACAACAGCATTGCCTACAATGGCAAAGCTCTGGTCACAGGGCTGCTGCAGTGGCAAGGGCCCAGCAGAAAACCATTCCTTTTGGGGAGGCTGTGCTAGTTTGTGAGCCAGCCAGTGCCAGGACTGCACGTTATCAGAGCTCATCTGCTTTTGCCAGCTAAGTAGCTTATCTAATAAATACACTATGTCACCTTACAAATCTTGCTTCTTCAGGATTATAACTCCTGTGACCTCCCAAATGCAGAATCCTTACAGAAGCAAACCCTCAAATGGCATACCGTGGGTAACAGTGTGGGGAAGGGTCCTTTGCACCAGGCCTGGAAACTGCAGCAGCACCTCCAAACATCATTTCGAGGTGCTCTCAGTAACAAGGTTCTGTCAGGGAGCCTTTATCTAGAACTGATCCCGTGCACGCTGTCTCTGAGTGTGCCACGTGCTGCCCAGCAGACTTTAGTCCTTGTTATATGGGACAAACAAAACCACCACGACTTCACACCAAACAGCACAGGCACAGTATTTTTCATAAGGTCACACAATTAATTATGCTTTTAAGCCGTATCTACATTCAGGACAAATTCTTTTGTTTACTGCTCTTTTTTTTTTAGTGTGTTCATGTGGAAGTAAGGGGAAAGGATGATGAAAAAGAAAAAAAATCTAATCTAAACCATTCCTTATTGACCACAATCCCTTCCCCCCTCTCCAGCATTTTTCCACAGAGAACTCTAGCTCCTCTTCCCATGTTTGCTCATTTCATTGGCTCCTCCACCGAGCTCCCATTCCCTGCCCACATCAACCCTGATGCTATGCAGCATGTGCTGGGTGTCTGCAGGGGGTACCACGACCCTGGTACCAGCCAGAACATCACACAGGCACGTTGTGCTAATGGAGGTGGATTGCTTCGCTTCAGTCTCTAACACACATAATGAGATTAGCATTTGAATAGTGCTGATCAAGTTACCAGTAGCTCTGAACTCTGGGTCCATCAGATGCAAATGAATCACTATAAATTTTGCTCCTTTCTTAAGGGCTCTTTATATGCATGGCCAACACAGAAAGAACTGCAGTGGGTATTAGCCCGGGAAGTCTGTCTCTCACCATGACCAGGAATTTCTGAGAGGGGAGAAACCATAGGAGCATCTTTTCTTAGATAATTTTTTTTAAGAGCAGGTTTTCTCCCTCTTTTTGATGCCTCTTTTCTCCCAGGACTGTGCAGGCATCAGGATGTATTCTAGCATAAGGTTCAGAGACAAAAACCTTCACAATACCTTCATGTAGGTCTTAATTCCATCTGTTCTTAATTACCTGAGTAACTTCTGAAAGTCCTGCCAGCCTCCTTGTGCCAAGGACATATCCTTCCCTGGTGGGAGGATGAAGGTAAGGTAAGTCTGTGCTGCCTCCAACTGCATTGATTCAGTATCACCAAAGCATTTGCAGTACCGTGAAGCGTCTTAGTGTTCTCACCTCCTCAGTCTCCCTGGAAAAAGATACAGTACACATCCCATGTAGGAAAAATCATGTTTAGGGTACTGCCTTGCATGATTAAATGTAAACAGCCTAATCCCCTCCATGGATGCTCAGTTATAGGGGAGTCTTCTCCCACCTCTGTTCTGTGGGAAGGAATCCCGAGGAGAGGGGAAGAAGGCACAGTCAACTCGTAAGAACAAAATCTGCAGATGTCAGGTGAGCTCAGGCACACACCAAAGCTTCCCTGACACCACAGCAGGAAAAGAAGTTCCAGGAGCTCATCATTCCTACTAACACGGAGTTTTAACACATTCACAACATTTCTGCAACCTTCAGAGCAGAAGGAATGACAGAACCAAGTTATCTCAAATGCAGTCATCCTAGAGTTTTTAAGATATTACTGCAAACAAGCCTGTTCTTGCAGTAACTCCAGCTGACCACCACATGCAGTTAGCTCCAGCTGCTTTCATTTCTCTGGGTCTAGAACCTCATTTGAGTTTTCATTTTACACAGTGCATTTATTTTGAGGTGCAGGAAAGAAAAATTCATGCACATAAGCATTAACTTGAATTAACAAAATATTAGAACTCCTCATCACCTCCCCTGAGAAAAGTAGAAACCTTCACATTTCATCACTCCACCTGCTTCTCACTACAGGAAACGTGTGAGGAAGTTTACCATACTTGTAGTGTCAATCAGCTCCTTTCCTATGGAGCCTAAATAGGTACAATTGGCCGCAGGCACAGAGCACCAAAATTACTCCGTGTCCCAGTTGCTTATATAATAAATCTAAATTAAATCAATAATTAAAGCAGTTCTTGCACACTAGTTCTCCCCAGTGGTCCTCCAAACCTTTTTACAAAGCCAGTGGCAGCTCCCCATTTTGCTAATGAGAAAAGCGGTTCAGAGCCCAGCTCGCTGTGTGCCACCCACTGCACGGGCAACAGACAAGACCCATTTTAACACCCATGGCAAAAGCGGGTGTAATTTTTTAATTAAACAGGTGGGGTGCAGCCCTTCCACAGTGGGAAAAGGGCCAGGCCCTTCTCTGCACCATGCACGAGACCCACCCCAAAGGCAGAGCCAAGGCACGCTGCCCTCGCTGCCCCTCTCCTGCTCCCTGAGCTGCGAGCACAGCAGAGCAGATCCCTTCTCTGCAGGGACCTCCCCAGCCAGCCTGGAGGTGGGATAACGGAGTCCCCCTTAGCAACTCCAGCTTCCCTGGGACACGCTGGGAATTCCCTCAGCAAAGCAGAAACTCACCCTGGGACACCTAAGAGCTGACTCAGAGGTGCTCAAAAAGGCACACTACCAAGGGGTAGCCGTATCATTGGCTCACCATCCCCTCACGCACACACCACCCTGCATGGCTCGGCTCGGCTCGCTGCCACAGCCCAGCTCCCGAGGAGCCCCGGGAGGCCGGCCGGGGCAGCTACAGCCCCGGCTCTGCCCCTGGGGGCCACAGCGACCACTCGAAAGCGAAGCCTTCACGGGGATGGCAACACCGTGCTCCTTCAACTGGGCGCGGCAGAGCCCCACCCTCAGGGCTGGACCCGCCTCAGCGCTGGACCCACCTCACGGCGCGGCCCCGCCTCAGGGCGGAGTCTCCCTCACGACACCGCCCCGCCTCAGGGCGGGGTCTCCCTCACGACGCCCCCGTCCCCCCGCTCTGAGAGCTCTTCGGGGCTGGATTTTTCTCATGCTTCGACGCTGAGCTTTACGCGGGGCGGTGTCCTGTGTTCTCCTCACACATCACGGCTGGGTCTCTCTCAAGACACCTCCGCCCCCCGGCACTGAGCGCTCTTCGGGGCTGGATCTTTCTCATGCCTCAGCGCTGAGCTCTCCTCGGGGCGGTGTCCCGTGTTCTCCTCACGCGTCAGGGCTGGGTCTCCCTTATGACACCTCCGCCCCTCAGCGCTCAGGGCTGTGCCCCCTCACCACCGAACCCTCCTCGGGGCTGTGTCCCGTGGCCCCGTGGCCCCTCAGGGCTCGGCCCCCCTCACCGCCGAACCCTCCTCGGGCCTGTGTCCCGTGTCCCCGCCGCCCCTCAGGGCTCGGTCCCCCTCACGGCTGGGCCCCCTCGTCGCGCGCTGGCCCCGCTGTGGGCCGGGCCCTCCCCTCAGCCCGGTGCCCGCACTCGCCGCAGCCGCCAGGGGGCGCCCCAGGGCCCCGCGAGCCCCGTCCCTGAGGGGCACGGGCTGGACATGCGGGGAAACACCCCTAAATAGGGGGAAAAACCCTAAAGAGGGGGAAAAACCCTAAAGAGGGAATAAAAAACCTAAAGAGGGGACAGCCCGCGTTTTGAAGAGCTCATTCTAGAACGACAAGCGTGTAGAAAGAGAAAAAGGACCCCAAATAACTGTGTCCCAGCCCAGGGTAGGATTCCTCTGTCAGCAACATGGGGAAGCTTTATCCTTGGTCCTACGTTTCAGCTCTTGCACAAAACATTTATTTTATGAACAACAAAATGTCATTTAAGATGGACAAGCAGCTGAAGAAGAAATCAGATTTCTCCATTAGAAAGAAAGGTCATAATAATAATGAACAGTATATAAATGTGTGGATTTACGTCTATAAACAGCGCAGGGCAAAAGATTTGCAACAGACACAAAGTCTAAGGTCTTTTATTACATTTTATAGATTAAATATATCTTCAGTAGAGTCTCTCTTTTAAAACACACAAAAGGAAAAAATACATTCTTCATGTACATATGAAATACTGACCACGTAGCAGGGACCATGTACAGTGCAAAGTATGAACACAGCTACACAGACATCACCACCTTGGATGATTATCAGGCTTTTTCTACAGTAAAATTGGAACAAGTTAACATTCCTGTTTCCAAAGAGAAATCCATACCCTTCCCTTCCATGGCATTTTGTGGGATTGTGCAGGAAAGGGTTTTATTTATGTTTTAAAGGTTTTATAAAATCCTTGCATTGCATGAAAAATTATCAAACTCCTCAAGCTTTGCCTCTTTCACACATTCAATAATCATAGTACAATTTTATTGTGATTGCAACCCAACTCCAAAAATCCAGGGAAAACCAGAAATATATATAACCTGGTATACAGAAAGGAATGAATCAGAGTGATTGTTGCATTGTCCAGGAAACATGTACCCACATGTAGACACACACACAGAAGATGGAAGATAGCAAGGTGTGACAGAGCATCTCCTATTTATCACAAGTTTGGAGTGAGGGCACGGGGTTGCACGTTGCACTTCGGCAGTGAATCTCTAGTGTCTCTCAGTATGGGATGTCATTCTGGTAGTACTGGATCATGTCATATGTCCTGCTCCTAAAGAAGAAAAGCAAAGCCAGAAGTAAGTCAAAGTTTAAAAAAAACACTCCACCCATTGTCACAGAAACATTAATCAGGATCCCACAGAAACAAAACATGAGTGAAGGAAATCAGCTGCTAATCAAAACTAGCCCTCCATGCTTTGCAGGCATTATGAAGGCCCAGCTAACTGTTATAACAGCACAAAACATCCCGCTCTTTAAGCTAGGAAATGTGTAATGAATGAAGCAAGATCATCAGGGCTGCATGGAGACAAGATTATGTGGAAATAAAAGTCACCTTAATTCAGGAGAATGCTAATATTGAAAATAAAAGTGCAGAGGAAATAACAGCATTAATAGCAGCATCTCTGATGAGTGACTAAGCAGACAAATCTCAGCTTGTTACAGATAACTCAATTATCCATGGGCAGAGCTTATTCAGGTCACAGACTAACCATGCCACAGGTGGAGAAGCTCAGGCTTGTCAGAACTAAGCTGGCCCTGGGCATTCACAGAGCAGTGTTACTGCCTTCAAACTCCCCAGTATTCATCTAAGATTTGGAGTAGGTGCACCAGCAAGAACTGGAACATCCAGTTCAGTTCTAGCGGGGCTGTATCTGAGCCAGTGAGTGGTACTGTTCTCAAGCTGACCACACATGGAACTACACAAGTCTGTATTAGACTCTCCACAGTCTGTATTATCTGGGATAATAAAACATGCATTTAAGATGTTTAACTATTACATTTACTCTTTAGACTAACCAGACTTAGGCTAAGTCTTCCTTCCCAGTGTAAAAGTGAGGAGATGCAGCATGTTCAGAAGTATATCTGCTATCCTGCACTATCTAAATATCAACAACTCATAAATGTTTGATATCTGACTGATAAAACACTATTTTTCAGCTCTGCTCAAAGCCCGATGACCTTCCTTTAGCCACAGGGAGAAGACATGCATAGATGCCAAACCTGTTGCTGAGGAAACAATTCTGGATGATCTTGATGATGAAAGTTGCGGCCTCCCGTTCAGTCATGTTGGGGCTGAACCTGTGTCTGTATGCAGAAAATCACAAAAAGCAAGAGAAAATTAGTGCAGTTTCCTTTGAACGTGATACAAATGTGTCTTTGCATAAGCTCAGCTGCTGCAAGTACCTGCTTCTCGTGAGACCACCTGGTACAAATTACATAACGTTTTAACAAGCACTTACTGTTAGTCTAATAGTGGAGATACAGGCTGTGAACTTTTCATCAGTCTAGTGGTGACTCCAGGAACAGCCAATCCCTCTTTTGAGGCAGCTGCTGCTTTTAAAATGTCTGTACCTAGTACTGCCCTTGAGCTCCAGCCCATCATACTTCATGAATCTGTGCTTATCTCTAGGAAACTGTAGAAAGTTAAAAGCAAGAAATGCTGAGCTAACTCTGCTCACTCTGGAGTGAACTGTGGAGGCATAAACCTGAAGGGCTGTTTAAAGTGTCACATTAGAAACTGTATTTGCCTAAGCTGTTGTATGTTACCTCATAGTTCCATTCAGTACTGCATTATCTGTAGAACAAATATTAAGAGGCTGTTATTCAGACTCTGACATCATTTCAGAGGACAGACTCTGCAACACATCATCTCTCAATTAAAGCAAATCTTTCATTTACAGTTTTATTTTGCTAGTCCTACAGACTTAAAGATAACCCATGTACTTGCACAGTCACTGAACAGCTTGACCTTAATTCTACAAAATGGCCTCTCTAGAATTCTTACTTTCCGAGATACTCTATAAACAAGTTCCTATTTTTACAACTATAGGACATTTAAGATATTTGAGTAGCATGACACCTATACTCACTGCACAAGCTGTGGCAGTATAAATTCTGTGAAGAACATATGAACACATTTTCCAGTTCAGACATGCTGACTTACTTCAACAGCTTGATTGTCTGCCCTCGGAAACAGGGCAGCCCTGTATCCAACATGAGTGTAACCAGTGAGACCACAGCATCCATGTAAGGCCTGGAGAAAAAGGGGACAAAAAGGTTACAGCACTCAAACTTCTGCAGCCTTAGCAGCTACAGCAGGCAGCTGAGGAGTTCAACGAGCTGGATCACACCTTTTTCTGTAATTAAATCAACACAAATAATCCTCTTACATTTGCTGGTGAAGCTACACCATTGTTTGCAATCTGTCACCTTAATTAAATTTCACTCCTTTACTGCTGGACTACCAAATACTCAGAATGCTGCAAGATGAAATCTCAAGGATTATACAAAGCAGTGCTTCAGCAAACAACATTTCTTTGGTATCAAAAAGGTGAATCAGTGCACCAAAACAGTACAAAAGGCTGAAAGCAGCAACAGGAACATATTATCTTTTAATTCCTAATTACTCTATGTAATTCATTGCTACATTGGCTCAGCTTCCCTTCTGCTTCCTGTCCTCCTACTCAGAACATTTATTATCTACCAAGCTATTACTCTACTACTTGGGGGACACATTTGCCTTGACACAAAACTTTGTCCAGACTGTTTCCCCTCAGGGAACCAAATTGATCTTGACTCCAAGCCAGCCCCTCTGGGGCTCCTAGCTGAAGAAACTTCAGTTCTGTAAGGTAATAGCAAAAATACTTTAAACTCACGATAGAAAGAGCTTTTATTTAAACTGTATTGAACAGTCCTCCTCCCACCCACACACAAAAGTACATGAAATCGTGTGAGGAAATGCGTGTAACATCACATTTTTGAATGGAATATATAAAATTTTCAAACATAAAGTAAGGACAGAAAAAGATACCACAAAGATAAGCTTTAAAACAGTAGGATTATTACATTGTTTCAAAGTTTGCAAGATGTAAACAGGACAGTCCAACAGCCTCAGACCCCCTACAGATAAAGGTTTATTACTATTTATCTTCTCATCTGGTTTTGGGCATGCAAGCACTTCCACTTTTGAGCAGTTAAGAACACCTTACCTGACTGCCAGATAGCCTCTGACACACATCTCCATAAACCATTTGAATGGAGTTGCCTCCATTTTTCCTCCCATTATCATCACCATCTCATCTGTCAGCTTAATGTCAGGCTCCCAGCCCAGGTTTCCACCAGGTGAGCTTTCAAACATGAATCCAAAATCTGTGCACAAAAGATAAACTGCCTCATAACTTTGTTGGTTAATTGTGTGCTGTTAAAGCTGACAGAAGAAAGGAGAGGTGGATTTCATGTATTAATACAAACATTTTAACTCCAACCAGAAAAAAGCTTCGGTGAAGTGTAGCAACGCCAACAAAAGCATCATCACCATGACATCAGACTAGAGGTAAGAATGGTGATATCAAAAAATCTCCTTGATGAAATATCTCTGCAGTTCCAGAAAGCAAAGATAAAGCAGAGGTTACAGCCTCACAAAATTATATAAATTTACTTGTCAGGTTTAATTCATACCCCTACAGTGGTGAAAGGAACCCAAAGACACGTTTCTATAATTACACACATATATACACACACACACATACATGTGTATGCATGTATGAGTTATGTATACATGTGTAATCCATACATATGTGTGTATATACTTTCCTGAAGCTGATTAAACTTTGCAAAGCTAAATTTAAACAGAAGCAGCCAACACAAATATACAACACTGAACAGGCAGGGAAATAT